TTCCTGTGGCAGTGAATTCCAAGTGTTAAGCATCCCTTGCCCCAGACTGAGAGTTCCTATCTATCCCTTGTGGCTAATAGGGGCCACTGATGGACCTCTGCTCCATATGCTTATCTAATTCCCTTTTGAAGCCATCCATGCTTGTGGCCACCACCACTTCCTGTGGCAGTGAGTTCCATGTGTTAATCACTCTCAGACCAGCCTCCCTCACAGGGCTGTTGTAAGGATAAAAAGGAGGAGAGGAGAATTTATTTTATTATTATTTTTTTAATTTAAAATAAAAATAAATGCTTCAAGTGGGGTACAAGTGAAGTAAATAAACAGACCTGGCTGTGGTGGGCAGTGGGGTGGGCTGGAGACAGAAGGTGGAAAGACCCACATCCCCGCTAGAGGGAGGAGAGGGGCGTGTCCGGAGCCCCTTCCTTCCCTCCCTCCCTCAGGTGTGCCCTTTCATACCCTCCAGGTGGTGCGGGGAATGAGCGCCGGGGCCCGTGTCTTTGAATACATGACCCTGACGCCAGAGACCCCCTTGAACGGAGGGCAGCGGCTGGCGTGTCGCTCGCTGCGGGGGGACATTCAGTTCCAAGGGGTCTGCTTCAGGTGAGATGCCTCCCGCTCCCCCACCCTGGGCTGGCCCAAGGGTCACCGTCTCTCCCTCCCCCCCCAGCGCCCAGCCAGTTGCCTACCCAGGGCTGGAAGAAGCCCCAAAAGGTGCCTGGTCGTGCCTTAGAAAGCAGTCTGCATTTGTTCTGTACCCGGTTTTGTTGCTCCTAGTGGGGTACAAGTGAAGTAAATAAACAGACCTGGCTGTGGTGGGCAGTGGGGTGGGCTGGAGACAGAAGGTGGAAAGACCCACGTCCCCGCTAGAGGGAGGAGAGGGGCGTGGGTGTGTCCGGAGCCCCTTCCTTCTCTCCCTCCCTCAGGTGTGCCCTTTCATACCCTCCAGGTGGTGCGGGGAATGAGTGCCGGGGCCCGTGTCTTTGAATACATGACCCTGACGCCAGAGACCCCCTTGAACGGAGGGCAGCGGCTGGCGTGTCGCTCGCTGCGGGGGGACATTCAGTTCCAAGGGGTCTGCTTCAGGTGAGATGCCTCCCGCTCCCCCACCCTGGGGTGGCCGAAGGGTCACCGTCTCTCCCTCCCCCCCCAGCGCCCAGCCAGTTGCCTACCCAGGGCTGGAAGAAGCCCCAAAAGGTGCCTGGTCGTGCCTTAGAAAGCAGTCTGCATTTGTTCTGTACCCGGTTTTGTTGCTCCTGCTTAATGGGGAGGGGGACTAGAAGAGGGGGCTCTCTGAATCCCCCCTCCCCCCCCTCATGGCTTCTGTGAGCTTAACCACAGCAGGGGCAGACTTATCTCGACCGCCAGAAGGACTTCGTTGACGAGAGGTACCTGGGAGGATGCTGAGCCCTTGGCTGCTCCCTGGATCCTGCTGCGGGCAGGGGTCGTCCATGTGTAAAAGACTCACAGACCCTCCTGCTCCGCTCCCTCCCCCAGCAAGCTCCCTCCAGGTGGTGCGGGGAATGAGCGCCGGGGCCCGTGTCTTTGAATACATGACCCTGACGCCAGAGACCCCCTTGAACGGAGGGCAGCGGCTGGCGTGTCGCTCGCTGCGGGGGGACATTCAGTTCCAAGGGGTCTGCTTCAGGTGAGATGCCTCCCGCTCCCCCACCCTGGGCTGGCCCAAGGGTCACCGTCTCTCCCTCCCCCCCCAGCGCCCAGCCAGTTGCCTACCCAGGGCTGGAAGAAGCCCCAAAAGGTGCCTGGTCGTGCCTTAGAAAGCAGTCTGCATTTGTTCTGTACCCGGTTTTGTTGCTCCTGCTTAATGGGGAGGGGGACTAGAAGAGGGGGCTCTCTGAATCCCCCCTCCCCCCCCTCATGGCTTCTGTGAGCTTAACCACAGCAGGGTCAGACTTATCTCGACCGCCAGAAGGACTTCGTTGATGAGAGGTACCCGGGAGGATGCTGAGCCCTTGGCCGGTCCCTGAATTCCTCTCCTGCGGGCAGGGGGTCGTCCATATGTAAAAGACTCACAGGCCCTCCTGCTC